ACGCAATACATAAAAGAAAGACCACAACACGTAGTTTTGAGACTAAAATACGTCGATTTCACACACAAAAAACTTAGGATGAGTGAGGATGTATGTTAGTTAGATTTTATGAAACTAATTATTTCAGTTACATCACTAATTACTTCTTTCAAATTTAAGGGCATGCGCTTCGCTTCGTGGCAAGTGCATGCCTATGCAGAAGGCAATGGATACTTTCAATTTCCGGGTTTTCTTTCTTCATGCGTGCTACAACTCCTAAAATTTTTCCTATCATAGCAGCAACTCCATCAGTACATATGCTTGAACATTGTTTCCATGAAATTCTGTGTTCTTTCATAAAAAAATGAACCAACTTAAATATTTCTTCCCCTGTTGTGTGCGTAGCTAAAGGTTTGCACAGTAAAATATCTTCTACAATACGAGATTCATGCATATAACGAATGAACACTAGTAAAATGGCCAAGCCTGTAACATCAGTGGATTCGTCCATTTGGAGAGAAAAAGTTGGACTCAGCTTTACTCGCCTTATTAATTCATTTTCGCAAAACGCTGACATGTCTTCAATACGCCCAGAAACTGTATTCTTTGAAAGATGCACGCAATTAATGTTTTGTAGGTATTTTTCATCAATCATACATCCCACAAAATCTTTGACACAAGGCTTGATTAAATTTTCAGCTATGGTATGGGATTCACCTTCTTTGGCTATACGGTAGCTAATGCGATATGAAGTAATAAGAGCTCTTTTGTTGTCTTTAGAAATAAATGAATTAAACTTAGTTTTTCTTTCGTCTATTTCTAAGCACTTCCTTTTAAAATATTCACTGCGTGAGAATGATTAGTTTCTAAATGTGGTATGAGTTTTGCAGCAAAGAAACTACTATTCTTCAGCACCTTTCCACATTCAACACAAAGTCCGCTTGGTTCTTCATTATCACTAGTCCATGTAAAACCATAGTTTATAAAGCTATCACCATGTTTTCTTTTTACTCTTTTTATGACACTTTTATTATGCGTTCTTGGCGCTTTGTCACATGGCAATGATGTCGACGAATTCGCCATACTTTCCCAATTAGGCCTATTTCGTCAAAACTTCCAGAAGCAACTCTGCCTTCACTAGACTTGTTACAAGTTTTCAGTCATTTATCCATTTTATGAGTGAAATCAATCAATTTTATATTTGGAGTTCTGGCACTGTTCAAGAAATAAAATAAACGAAAAACAAGGTGAGACAAAGGTTTCCCAAAATGACAAACTGCACAAATAGGTAGCTAAATCCGGCCGGAATTACGATGTCAACAGCACTGGAGATTTGCGGCTAGTGTGCAACTCTTGTTCCATGGCTCAGGCAGTTGATAGTCTGCACAGCAGGGTTGCCAATTTAGTTTATTTACATCTAGCGGCAATTTTTTTATAATTAACACTTTATAGGGATTTAGCCTATACATATTTTCATTTTAGCG